TATAGAGAGTGACTGTTGTCGTATATACTGCGGTGGGAGCCTGTAAGAGAGGTCCTGTCGTCGTACATTGAAAATTCCCCCAACGAATAATGAATTATTCATTATTGATCCGTCGACTGCGCATAATGCACTACCGCTCGTAAATAATAGGTCTATCCGCCGATGTTTATTTACTCTTGAAATCTCGAAAAATACCGATTAGTTTTCGTCTAGTTATAATATTAAATCCGATTTATCTTTAGCCGTGTACGTATATCGAAGCGAGTTCGACTTCATATTCGAAAACTATTATTGATTTCAATTTAATCGTCGTCACCCCACGTTGCTGCCTCATTATAAAACGACAACTTTCCTATCGCGCGGTACACTGCTCGGTCATCATTAGCACGACACAATTAAAAGTAAATTATAAAATCGATCATATGAAATAAAAAAGATCCTCGCGCTCGTGGTAAGAACAAGCAGCGACAAGTGGCATAGGAGTCTCTGAAAAGCTATTGGTGGCGATAGTAATAGAAAGCTCAGAGCTATTAAATAAAAAAGAGTGGTAAAAAATTAAGAGAGAAAGATGTACATTTTGGGTCGATGCTTGTGTTGCCCAAGCACGCAGAGCCGCTGCTTTTTTTCTCGCTCGCACAAATACGGTATGCTAAGTTTGACCGCAGCGCGATTCGTTTTACCGTGGCGCACGAGAACACGTATATCTATATATAATATGTATTCGTGTATATTATTTCGTGACGTGACCGAATTGAATTTGGCACCTTTAGTTTTGGACGCGTATCGAGCCTTATATTATTGATTTTATATTCGAGTATCTCGAGGGTAATATCGTTGGAATTGGATAAGCCAAGTTTAAATGTCTAAGGGCTAAATATATTTGCAATCAAATGGCTTTAGGGCTCGGTGTAGTACCACATAACAAGCGCAAATATCAAACGCACGAACGAAAATCGTCATTATTTCAACGTAAAATGCAGTTTGACGAGTGAAAAAAGCGAAAAAAAAATATTCACTATACATCGAAAATCATACATGCGAATTTTCCATGTTTTTTTTGTACACGCCCGTGAAAATTTTTTTTCCACGATTGTACGTCAAAGAGAAAAGAAATTTTATGCTCCCTTTTATGCTCGGTTATGCGAACATTGTTTTCACTTCTGGGCAAATGTCATTGGTTTCCGTCGCCACCGACACGGAAAAAGAATCGACATCTCTCTTTTTTTTCTTATATATACCCTCGAGTAAGATGAGGTTTTCATATATACAAAAAACAAAAGAAAAGAAAAGATGAAAAAAAAATTAAAACGATTTGACAGTCGTTTGAGCGCACTTTTTTCCTAGCATTTGTGAACTCGATTTAGGTGTGCACCCACGAAGATGAAGCAAAAAATGATCGATAAATTCTTACGAAAAAAATTCGATGATTTTTATGCACGAAATTTTACTATCAACTTTTATGTAGAATTTCATGAAACATCTATAGGTTCTCGGACGAGAAAAAATAAAAAACCAAGGAAAACAAAATACCGTGACTCGTCCAATTTGCTCTCACAAGTCACACGCGGGCGTTGACAAAAAATCGACAATGTAACCGCACACAGACACGCGCGGAGCCGTCATTGCATTCACCCTGGATAAAATCTATTGTTCTTTGGCGATAAAAGAAAGAAATAGAGAGAGGAAGTGGAAAAAAGTCATTCGATGCAGCAGCCGGGCTAAAGGAGAGGGACATATGCACGTCGAAAGCTCGACCCCGCGAAAACGAGGCAGAGTCTCGGTGGCATGTAGTATTCTGGTCTGGAATTGTTTTCGGATTTTGCGCGGAGGAAGATGCGCTATTCGCTCGAGGCGACTCGCTTTTGCTGCCCTCGCACATACGTGTAGGGTGCAGCGATAGGTACATGGAAAAGACAGGGACAGAGAGCATCAAAAACGAATCTACCGGCTTGATAGTTGGTCGCGCGACTCTCCGCATTATATGCACGCGTGCCCCTATTCGCATGACTTATACATTCGAATTAGCTCATGCAATTAGAAGAGCACAAGAAGAAATGCTTCAAAGAAGAAAAGCCCATAACCATAAGAGTATTTCGCTTTTTAGACACATAATCTACTATTTTGAGGCGGAGAAACACTATGAAATTTCTAACCAAAATTCTAAAATGTTTTTTATGTAACTGTTAAACATTCTTAGAAAAAAAAGTTCTCTGGTACTTTTTTCTTTAAGCTACTCAGTATCGAGTAGGAATTTTTCGAATTCTGGAAATAAGTGTGAAATTCGGAAGAATATCGAATTCCCGGCTTCGCGGATGAACGAACTCTCGTAATACGTGAACTAAAATAACAAGATCGTTATGTTGTAAATACATTGAAAATAATCTTTTAAGTACTTTTTAAACACTTCTGTTGTCTCCTTTTTTGAACTTTTCAACAAAACAATTACTTTCAACATGAAATAATTATGATGTACAATTTTTTCGCTACACAAACAACATACAATTGGCCTTGTTATTGAAATATCCGTAGAGTTTGTTAAATTGCTTCGTTCACTTGCAAGTTACATGAAAATAGTACAAAAAAATCGAAAGTAAAGTTTTATATTTCAAACAAGTTTATTATTGTAACTTTAACAACAACAAAATTATAACTTTTATCAACTACAAGTAAATTATAACTTTCGTCAGAAATGATAATTAAACACATTGAATCCAGGTATAACGTTATCTTAAATAAACAGTCGAGTAACTTTTTTTTATTAAAATTATCTCGATTACATGAAACAATTGATCCTGCACGCGTGCCGAAGAATTTTTTCGTTTACATATAATGAAAGATCTCAATCTTGAGTTTTGTCAATCCAACGGGATAGTTTTAAATTAAATATCAACACGGTCAAAAAGTTTAATTAAACAAAATAGCTCGAACGAGCATTCGAAATTGCACGCACACATACACCGAGTTATACACGGCCAACGAACATTTGCGGGACGAAAAATCCATTATATATACGGGCTGCTCGAGCGAGGACCACTGAAATAATCGGGCGGATAAATAAAGCAGAGCGTCTCACCGGGCGCGTGTGTATATAGGCGCGCACTGCATTTGAACCGAAAAATCCTCGGCGAAACGACACGGTGCGTTATATGTATAACAGACGAGCTTTGGATATAACGCTATGCGGTAGTCTGAAAAATTGAGCGACCCGATTGGCTTGCCTCGGCTGCTTGTCACGTTGTTCGTTTTACAATGAGCCGCCTGCGCTCGTCCGTGCGTATCTTTCTCTCTCTCCTCCATCTGGAATTTCTTTTATCGTATATCCATCTGCGTGCAGTTCGGCCCCCTCCACGTACTTTCAATTGCTTTTTCATGAATTAATTCTGATTTTCGTGCGCGTGTCTTTGCTTATCTACGTATATGTATATCGGCTGCAGGATGCGTCGATAAAAATCGCCAGTTGACTCGCGCGCATTTTGGCATTCACGCAAGATCGGCGTTGGCAATTTCGGCAACGCGTACGTGGAGTTTTTGTCGTTCTTTGGCGCTTCAGACGACGTTTCTTCGTTTCGTAATATTGGCTTGCTCTACGAAGGGCTGCTCCTCCTCGACGCGCGACCTCTTGCGCGCCTCGCTCGTAGCCGCCTCGCTCGACAGCGTGACTCCGCGCTCGAGTTGCAGCTTGGCCTGCACGAAGACAAAGTCCGAGAGCTTTTCCATCTTGGAGAGGGACTCGTCGTCGGACTTGAAGCGAATGCAGTCGAACAGCATGGCCTCGGGCAGTTTTCTCAGGATCACCGAGAGAAGATCGTGATTGTCGAGCTGCGCGTCGCCGAGCTTGTGCGTCTTCAACGAGGACGTGGCGCTGCGCAGATCGGTCGCGAACTCGGCCAGCCGATGCGGCTCCTCCACGAGGCTCGGCAGCCGCTTGATCATCGCGACGAGGGCCTCCAGCAGCAGCGACGAGTTGCCGAAGCGCATCTCCAGCAGCTCGAGGACCGTCTCGGTGTTCCAGCAGGAGAACGACGCCTTCACCGCCTCGAGAGCGTCGCCCTGCAGGGCGTTGAACAGCCGCAGCATGTTTTCGATCGGAGGATACGTGTTGTTGGCCGTCGTGTAGTCGAAGGTCCGCTTGAATATCGGCCAGTCGAGCGGGTCTCCGGAGAATTTCGGCAAGTCGAGGACCAGCGACGCATTGCAGTTCGTGCCGATCGTCGACGTGGCTCGCTCCGTTTGGATCTCCTTGTTCTCCTTCGGCTTCGGCTCGACGACTTTGGAAGGCGGCTGCTCGGTTTGCTTGGAAATTTCGACGAGCGTCGCCGGTGGCTCGGACACTTTGACGAGTTGTCCACCGTTCGCGAAAAATTCCTGCATGGATATGCGTATGGGGGCCGGAACGGTTCCGGTATTGCTATTGGTTTGTTTCTGGGAAGCAGTGGTGCTGTTGCCGCTGGTTGGCGCATTGGAAGACGTTGATCGGCGCCAAGCCGACGATGCCCGAGTGCATACTGGATTCGAGGACGTCGAGGCAACCGATGGCGACTTTTCCTCTTTGATGAAACTGCGAACTTGGCGCGATTTGTCCACTTCCTTCGCTTTGGTTTGACGACTCATGGTTGATGCTCTGAAATCACACGTATGCTATTAGGGTATTGAAGCTTGAATTTGAAAAAAGGTTCGTCGTTTCATTCATAACTTACCCTTGGTGGATGATTGCAAGTTGATTTGAACCAGCCTAGTTAATAATCGACAACTAAATAGGTTAACCGCGCCGAATTTTACAGCTCGTGTAACAAAAGAACATTCATCGACTTGAACTGCGCCCAATGTACAAAATATCGACACTCGAATTCTAAATAGGAGATTCGAATAATTACTTCGATAGTTGTTATAATAAAAAAAAATATTTCAAACAAAACAATTTGAATAATCATTTAAACATGCCAATTTTTGCCGAGCTTTAATCGTTGAATTAATTATTATTTTATTTTTTTTTTTTACAGCGAAACTGGAATCGAAGGACACGTGCAGCGGGGCGAGCAGCACGAGCGCGCTGGACGCGCGCGGCACCTGTCTGCTGCTCATGTCGCTGGTGACGATCGGCCTGAAGGCGCTGTCGGGCGCGTCGCAGCTCTGGCCCCACGCCCGGGGACCGGTCTAGCTCCCGGCCGGCGGCGGCGAGCGGCCGGCCTTTAACGCGACTATCCCAGCTCCGACCGAAAACCGGCAACAATGACATATCAACCATATTGATGAGCAGCAGCAGCAGCGAGAGACGAGCATCGGTGCGGATTCGCATTGAAAGAAGGACGACAAAATAATAAAAAAGAAGAAAAAAACGATTGACACCACGCGTACAGACGCGCTCGCAGCACACAGTCACACATAGTCACACGTGTATACACGAACACACACAAACAAACACACAAACGAACACAGATAAACGCTTCTACGTTGGCAGATACATAAAAAAAAATACTTTTAACTCGTGGACACCAAGCTTTTTTCCAAGATTTTTTAGATAAATTTCAATAAATCTTATCGATCTTACAATTAGGTAAATATGATTGAGACGAGTGAAAAGTTGCGTTTTTTAAAAAGAGGCGCACGATGTCTGAGTGTGTAAAGCTTGTGCTAACTATATCAGATTCAATGAATTGCTGTCCAATTGGTCGAACTCTGTAGAATAATAACTTCGCCTCGATTCATTCATGTCGCGAATTACGTTTAAAATGAATCAATATACTTTACTCGTTTTTATGATTTTTAAGTGATATACGCATAACTGTAAGCGTTTATAATTATAAAGAATATAAAAAGTCCCGGCCGTTACCGTTGGCCGAGTATGCGAAAAGCTCGATATATTGTAACTTAGATGCGAAACAATAACAGCAGAAAAACGTGGAAAAGAAAAAACTGCAGACTTTCCGGTATTTTTCAACGAGTAATCGAGCTGTGTTGAATTTCATAGTCAACATAATTTATACAGAAATTATTACACATTAACGAAATACGTTCGACTCTGTTCTCCATCACTTTTACAACAACAAACAACAACAGAAGGGAAAAAAAGAAAAAGATTTAAAATCGAACAAAACTTTAGTGCGACTTAATTATTCGAGCGAACCTTCTCCGCATTATTCATGTAAACATTTAGTATTTTTAGTATAATTTTTAAAAGAAGGAAACAGTCGTAGGGCCAAAAGTTAATGATAATTATACATAATTATAAATATAAAAAAAAATTAATAATAACAATTAACATTGGTATATCGATAAACTAAAAGTAGAAAAAAAAGATTGCCGAGTGTGTGTCCAGGTGACGACAACGATGATGACGACGACGACGGCAATGACCGAATTCTCGTGTATATCGTCTAAAAAAATGTCTGCGACTCTCCTTTTCTGCAGCCGCATTGGCTTTAAGCCTACACGGCAAAAGTAATGTACGCAAGTACACGTGCTGAGTCATATTGCGCGTGTGTATCTCAACAAACAGCTGCACACGTTCATACAACGAAGCACTTCATAAACAAACTCGCATATTGTATGAATGTATTAAGACGATATAGTTGTAATGTTGTGAGCTAAGATAGTTTTTTATTATTGTTTTGTATGTACATATTTCGTATTTAATACATGAAATAAGTAAATGAAAAAAAACGAAAAAAAAAACAATTACAAAATGTAATAATGATGCGTATACATAACAATTGTATGTACGCGAGAGTGCGATCGCTAAGCTTCGCGCATGATCTATAATATAAATGTATTTATAAGTAATAACGTAAAACGTAATATCACTGTATTGGTAACATAACGCGAAAGTATAAGACTATATAAATATAAATGTATTACGTACGACTCGACATTTTGGTAATTTTCTTTCGAATTCATTTACACTTTGCATGATACACAGTTAGATTGTCATTGACGAGGAAAAAAAATACAAATTTTGCAGTTTCAAAGAACTATTTGCGCAAATAAGTAAGCGCTATTTAAAAACTTTTCGTAAGCCTTCATTCATATTTTAAGTTTGAAGTAAACGACGACTAAGAGGATTATTAACGTTTAAGTCAAAGAGAAAATAATCACTTAACTGGTAATCAAGAAAATATTTCATCCTACCACTAATAACACAGTATTGCCATTATTATTATGAAAAGAGTAAAAAACAATAATACGTTATATTATCATAGCTAATGACAACTTGAGTGCTTCCGCGAGTGTTTTCTTTTTTTCTTTTTTAAGGGTAGATTAGGGTTCTTCTTAATAGAGCAAAAGAAAAGTAATGATATATGTTATAAATACAGATATTTATGAAATATGGTAAAAAAGTAGTTCACATTAATGCATTTCATCTCTTTGTTTGCGATGGCTGACAGAACGGTAAAATTACTCGTAAAAATACATTTATGAAATTAAACTCATGAAATTATATTTAAATTGAAGATCATTGAAATTTCTTAGTTGCAAAATATCGGATTTTGTGTTTTCGTTTAATTTTAGAATCTTTAAATAATTTGTTTGTTCGTTTGGCATTTCTATTTATGAAAATGTAATATTATATAAGCTAATTGAATATGAATACCGCAAGTCGCCATCGTTGAAAACCGTTCGTGCTGCCTTACATTCAATTATTATATAATAAATGTATAAAAATGTACTTGAAAAGTTTTAAAAGCTAAAGAGTCGTGACCTTTTTTTGCTACGAATAAATTGTCATAATTTAAATATGTTATGATTATAAAGATATGTTTTTAATGAGAATTATAAGGATTTATGGCGCGTTGACGAATATATTATGTTATGATAGAACATATTATCGCAGTCTTTATATAATAGCATTATTATTAACTCTGTTCAGTAAAATCTAAACATGATTTTGCATCGTGCATAATCGACGACTTTCAATTTAAATGTCCATTGAGCATGCATCATTATTAAGTACGAGGAAAGTTTTATCCTGATGCAAAATTATCGCGCTTTCGAATTGATTTTACGTTGTCAATGCTAAGTACACTTTTAGAACCTGCGTGCAACTTCGAATTAATGTCGAAAAAGAAGATGCGCGTAAAACATTTTAGGCTATAATTAAATTAGCTCATAAACTGCGAAGAGAGGATCAGTAACTATGAACTATAGCAAGTAATGACGGGGCTGTTTGAAATCATAATAAAAAAAGTTGGACCTAAAGGGATGAAATAAAATTTATCGTTCAAAGAAAAACGAGCTATACCCAGCTCGTTTTATCTAAAAGAGTATTGAACAAGCATGAATACCAAAATACCAAAAGTCACTAAGAAAAGATTAATACATAAATACTCAGTATAGTAAGAATAAAACGGCAAATTGCTCTAAGCAAAAAAATATTATATAATCAAGAAAATGAAACGACAAAAAATAAATAAAATCGTATAAATAAATCAATTTCGCTACTCTATACATAAATAAATAATGAACAAAAAAAATTAAAAAATAAATGCGTGAGTTTCCTTCTTTATAGACATATCTTTATGAAATAGTACAAGCGAAGCTGAAAAAAAAGACAATTTGTGTAACGTCATAATTTGAACATATAGAGCAATTATCATTTGTCTCCTATTGATTTTTTATTTTATTTTAACGCTTAGCATTTGCGATAGATTTTACATTATTTTACTAATGCTCGTTGAAAGATTTTTATCACTCGTATGAGAAATATAAAAACAACCATCTCAAAAATGCAAAAAAATATTGTTATATTAAAATGGAATTGCTGTGTAATTTAATAACAATCGCCGTTGTAATCGTCAGTTGATTTTTCATTTTTTCACGTCTGTAATGAATTTATCGTTGTAGGTATTTTTTCTAACGAATAAGACTTTTTATAATGTAAAATATCACCCACATACACGAAAGAAAGTATATAAATTCATACTTAATAGTTATAATACTCTCTATTCTTAACTTTCTAAACTTTTTTGAGTGTCGATTTCAGCATCGATCCAATTGCGCTCAAAGAGCAAGTCAAGGGGAGAAAAAGATCTTTGTACTCTGCCGATCAATAAAAAAAAATACTGCGGCATTAGTGGAAAATACCTCAACTTTGAAAGGCATGTAAAAACGGCACTTGTAAAAGTTTCAGAAAGGTTGTAGGGTTCAAACGGTACTCTCAAAAAAAAATCTTTTTCAAAAAGCAAAAAATAATTTATATAGTTATTACATAAACTGATAATCTTATGTTACGTAGGGTATAATTATAAGAATGATCGATAGATTAATAACAAACAAAAAATCAATCACGAACGTCGTTTTATCGTTTTGTTATGTATATGAGAACTATCTACAAAATTGTTACTAACTGTCTAAGAGCAGACTAAAAAAAGCGATGCTTCAAAATTTAAAATAATGTAGATAAGTTACGGGCAAGAGTGATTTGCCTGACTATATCAAGCGTTTTACTACTAATAAAATAAAGCCAATGTTACATACAGATCGGTGGTTTTCATTTAATCCATTCGACAATCTTATCTTAATAGGTTATATGTGGTTGAGCAGCATCCACGGAGTTGTGATAAAAGGATAGGCCAAGAATGTATCAGTGACAGTTACAGTATAGTATACCCTTCAATATGGGTTGACTGTCGTAAACGCTGTTGCCTATGCGTTTTTGTAGGACACTGGCAGCATCTCGGCGAAATCTCTCGCGTTCGCTTCCCCCGCTCTTGCTTTGCGTGTTCGATCAGACTGCAGGTTGCTCAGTCACAAGCATAGTTTGCGCCATTTTTATCGTCAGTACACGACACAACGCCACAGCGAAAACAAAGGAATATCGTATCGACTGCAACAAGTAGTTGTCACAAAAATAGTATTATATACTTCATATTATAAGTGACTTTTGTGAATTGTGTATGTAAGTGCACAGAAAGATGTGCTCGTCCGACAACGAATCCGATGAAAGTTACTGTGGCGGTTGCGAACGCGACAAATTTAACGAGTTGTATTTTTCCGGAGACGTGGATCATGTTAAAGAAGTACAATTAAAACAAACAATATTAACGACCCTCCGAGAAAATGTCAATTGGGAAATCAAAAAAGATCGAGACGAATTCCTCGAACAAATTGAAGGTTACGTAGGTCGTTGGGAATACGATCTTCCAAATCTCCGAGAAATTTTCAAGCCCGAAGAAATTGAGCTTCTTCTCTCGGATTCCATAGATTACTGGACCGACGACGAGGCTTATTTTGCAGGAAAAGAGTTCATCATTTTCGTAGTTCATTCCGGCTACAAGGACGAGCCCGAACTCGATGAAAATGGCAAGCCATCGTCGCATCGCACCACACCATTGCACCACCCGAACATGAGTAAATTTGGTCTCTGGGATACCGGAGTTCGCAAGCTGTTTAGGATATACGACAGGTTCGACGTTAATTACACCGATGAAAATGGATTGACACATTTTCATGTGGCTTGCATGACCGGCATCTTCGAAGTTGTCTTAAAATTCCTCGAGCACGGGCAAGATCCCAATTGCCTTGTGACAAAAACAGGTAACTCACCGCTACACTTGGCTCTGAAATATGGTCACATTTACGTGATTAAATTGCTGCTGGAAAGAGACGCTGATCCCCATTTAGCTAATAAAAAAGGACGGACACCTCTGCACGTTTTATGTAAGGCATTCTGGGATAGTAGCACGGCGGAAATATTCTTCAAGATCTGCGCCGAGAAAAATCAAACGATTGAAGTGGATGCCCAGGATAATTTGGGAAATACCCCACTCCACTTGGCTCTGCAACGCGGCAACGATAAGGCGGCCGAATTCGTATTGAGAAGAAGTGCCGATCCTAATCTGCCCAATGAGGACGGATTGACACCTCTGCATATTATTTCCAAGAGAGACGACAGTTGTAACGACGACGACGATTTTTTGAAGCTATTCTTCGAGATCAACGATGAAAAACATCAGCTGGTGCAGGTCGATGCGAGGGACAAATTGGGCCAGACACCATTACAATTGGCTGTGTCGAATTTCAAGCTGGATGTGGTCGAGATTCTGTTGGATCGAGGTGCCGATCTTTTCAACTTTGTTTTTCCCAATGAGAGTCAATTTGACGAGAAAATTCAAGTGTGGCTTAAAGAAACTTGGCGTGATTTTAAAATGATTAAAATGAAACTAGCATCTCAAAGTCTGTCCATCGTCGAGCTCTTAGAAAAAAGAGGATACGAATTGAAACGAAGCGACGTCCTGACGATAATGGCATTATTAGTCAAGCACGCGTTATTCTGCAAGCCAGAACATCTTGAATTTTGTCGCAGTAACGAAGACTTCCTCAGCAAGGCGCAAAAACTTGATATGAATCCGAGTCTGTCGCTCTACGACTTGATTCGTTTGAAACCCGAAGAGGCGACGAAGTTTTTCACATATACGGACTACTACAAGTTGACTAGCTCGGGAAAATTGTATACGCTCTCCAAAGATGAAAATCAGGTTTGTGAATTGTATCTGTTCGAAAAGCTATCAAGAGGATTTTTTCGTCGATGGGCACTGGATCCATTCTTACAGTTGACGCACTACCAATTACCAATTCTCTGCTGTGTAATGATCATCAACAACCTGATGAACGAAGATTTATGCAATATTTGCTTGACGTCCGCAGGCAGAAGTTCATGATAATTGTGATGATCATAAGCATCTTTGCAGTAATTTTCCACGCCTGTGTTTATATTATTTTCCAAACTTTTTGTTTTATCGAATAAAGAAATGTAAAAAAATTTAACTCAATAATTTTCTTAGAGTTTTTCATATAATATTAAAAACATACTGTAATCAGTAGTATACTGAAAAAGTGGAAAAACATTATAAATCAAGATATCTTTCATTTTTTGATTTGCGTATTTAATTTACATGAAAATAATAGATGAAAGTAATTTTAATCCCCGTTAAACTTGTTACATATTTTTTCTCCTTGATTCATAGATTCTCAGCTCATGAAATAATGTCAACATAATTCTTATTTGAAAACTGTTCTTAATTTAACAATAAATAGATAAATTGCCATCGGTGATCATTAGTGCCATAATTCAGCTCGTTCGCGTTGTTTTGCTTATCGTGACCCGGCAAGACTGACTTTCAAATCTTCGAAAAATATTTCGACCCGAAGAAATTGAATACTTATCTTGTCTCCAATATTGAGAAAATGAAAGAATTCGAAATTAGATTAAAGTTGTAAGGATTAGACTTTCGACGATACTTTTCATTGATACTTGCACTAAATAATCTTTTAAGAAAAAGTATCCTCCGATTTAAATTCATGAGAATTTACTTATATTTTTTATATTTATTTATAATTTATATTGTTGATAGGATTTTTTGGTTCAATCTATTCAAATGAAATTTTAAATACTATATTACGAAGAAATCAGTTAAGTAGCTCTGCATAACAATAAACGCGAGATAAAATAATATATTAGGTTTTTTTAAAAAGTATTACATATAATGTATACCCCATTTTTCAATTTTTGGTAAGTAAAGTATTTCATACAATTTTTTCTCTGGTAAAAATTTATTACAACATATGAGTCAAAGACTTAAAAATTTATTATAAATGTAAAAATTATATACATAATCATATGTAGATAAGCCAATTATGAGTACATTTCTATCATGGCTTTTCATTACAAAATAGTTAATCATGATAAAAAATGAGTAATTCTTTGAGGCTATTGTAAATGATCTTCTGTCGCGAATATATCCTGGTTTTCTTGGAATGAAAACGATTCTTCTCCGAATGTCTCTCCACTCTGGTCAATTAGGTAATTTGGTACGTACCATAATGGAAAATATGTTGGTGTCTGAGGCTGTATTTTTGTCCAAACATCTTCTTGCTTGATATCGCGTGCGTGATCTATGCCACCTTCATGAATAGTTTTTTGGTGTCTAAGCAAATGTATTTTTTGTCCAAATTTTTTCTCGCATTGGTCGCATTCGTAATTTCTGCGACCTTCATGGACCGTCCTTTGGTGCTTGAGCAAATTGCCGTGAGCGCCAAAGATCTTATCGCAATCCTTGCATACGTAATCTTTGCGACCTTCATGGATCGTCTTTTGGTGGAAGAGCAAATGCGATTTTTGTCCAAACTTATTATCGCACTTATCGCATGCGTACTTTTTCAGACCTTCGTGGACTGCTCTTTTGTGTTTCGACAAATTTGATCTTTGTCCAAATTTCTTGTCGCACACGTCGCATGCGAAATTCTTTTCACCTTGGTGAACTACTTTTTGGTGTCTGAGCAAGTGCGATTTGTGTGAAAATTTCTGTTCGCAGCTATTGCATACATATTCTTTCTGACTTTTGTGGATGGCTTTTTGGTGTCTAAGCAGATCATATTTGCGTCCAAATTTCTGTTCGCAACCATCACATGCGAAATCCTTTCGACCTTCATGGACTCTTGTTTGATGAAAGAGCAAATCTGATTTTCGACCATATATCTTTTCGCACGTGTTACAAGCGAACTCTTTAAGACCTTCGTGAACTATCTTTTGGTGCCTCAGCAAATGAACTTTTCGTCCGAATTTTTTCTCGCAGTTTTTGCATACATATTCTTTCTGACTTTTGTGGACTTTCTTTTGGTGTCTGAGTAGATCCCATCTGCGTCCAAATTTCTGTTCGCAACCATCACATGCGAAATCTTGACTACCTTCGTGCACGGCTTTTTGATGTGAGCGCAAATTCCATTTATGTCCAAATTTTTTCTCGCACTTGTCGCACGCGTAATCTTTGCGACCCTCGTGTACTGTCCTTTGGTGCTTCAGCAAATCTGATTTTAGTGCAAATTTTTTCTCGCAACGATCACATGCGTAATTTTGACTACCTCCGTGGACGGTTTTTTTATGTTTGAGCAAACTCCATTTATGTCCAAATTTTTTCTCGCACTTGTCGCACGCGTAATCTTTCCGACCTTCGTGAACTAGCTTTTGGTGCTTCAACAGATCTGATTTGTGTCCAAATTTCTTTTCGCACGTGTCACAGGCGAAATCTTTACGACCTTGGTGTACTGTTCTTTGATGATAGAGCAAATCTGATTTTCGGCTATATTTCTTTTCGCACGTGTCACAGGGGAAGAAATCTTTACGACCTTTGTGCATTGTCTTTAAATGTCTCATTAGAGTGCTCCGACAACTGAATATCTTCTGGCACTTGTCGCAAGTGTAATTATTGACATTATTAACATCTTCGTGGACCATCTTTTGGTGCCAAAGCATACTCCATATTTCTCCATACTTTCTCTCGCATATGTTACATGCGTAATTAGTGTGAAATCCGTCGGCTATTTTTTGATGTTTGAGCAAAGTCGACTTCCGTTCCAATTTCCTTTCGAATTTCTTACGTATCAAATCTTTCATACCTTCATCGACCATTCGGTGTATGACCAAATTGATTTCACTCCCAAGTATATTTTTGTAACTGTCACGCGGGTAATCTTCTTTCAATTCATAATCTCTTTGAATATTGTAAATTGTGTTATCGTGTCGAATCATTGTTGAATTTTTTTCTGAATAACTTCTGAAATATAACACAAATGTATTTTACGTTGGCTGAACAACAGAGTCGTACTTGCTTAATCTATTTGGGATAAATTTAATTCAATTGACCGTTAAATTTGAATTAGTAAAATTTTTCCGTGGATATTATTTAATGTATTATGGATGCGAGCATGACTCGTACTGTTGTTCAATTAAAATTTTCAGCTATTAGAAGATGATGTCAGCATGTACGATTAATATTGTTTACAGTTAGACACAGATATCTCTATTTATATATTGCTCAGTATCTCTCAATATTCATATAAGAATTATACACACATTTTCTGATTTTCATGTGTTCCTTTAATATTTTTTGTTTTAATTTTGTAATAATCTAGAACTTTGCTTCCCTGCTGGTAGAAAAATTCTTCTCCATCGACTTTTCTTTGAATTCCTATTTCAAATATCTTACTAAATACAAATTTTCATGAAGCCAAAAAGCAAACAAATTATTTTTTAAATGTGATAATAAAATGAAAAACTCAGCAAAAATGACAAAATAAGTTTTTTTAATTTCTGGCCTCATCAGAATCTTGCGGAGGCAGCAATTTACCGATGAAAATCGATTTCTTTCACTAAACAAAACAAAAATAAAATTAATTATTAAAATTAAGGCACAATAAAGCGAGTTTATTCTTATAAAAAATACGAAACGAACTATGAATACTTTTACATGCCGGTAGAGAAAAAAAGTAGCGAAGAATGCAGGTAAAGTATTGTATACAAGTTAAAGTATTCGACGCTAATCTTTGACTTCAGAAGGATGAACGAGGTTACTCATACAACGGTGATTATCCAGGAAACTTTACAAGTTGTTGCCCAAAACAAGTTGGACCTGGCACCGCTGTACATGGCGGTGGCGTGTGATTCTCGCTACCACGATACCTTGGATCGGGAGGCTGATATTTTTAGCTAAATTTTCCGATTTGACATTTACTTAGATGAAAAATTTGACCGTTGAACAAAAAAAACTATTTATTTTGCATTGATCCTCGAGTCCGGCACGGTAGACGTTGTGGAGCTCCTAAATAAATAAGTATTATACCATTTGAAACGCAGCGACGCTCTGATCGGAACATCTTCAATTTAATTGGCATAGCGACGAAGACTTCACGAGTCGGGAAATCTGATAATGAATCCGAGTCTGTCGCATTACGACCTGATTCGTTTGAGAAATCATTGTTGAAGCTTTTTGAAAAATTTCGCAATTCGAGTATTATGCATATGTGCGAGATCCTATTGAGAAAATTTTGCCGTCGATGGGCACTGGATTTTTTCTTCGAATGCCGATCCTCCGATTCGGTTTGATTCGAGCAGCTAATGAACAAATATTTGTGGCAAATTTGCTTAGAGACTACATACCCAAAGCTCGAGACGAAAATGCACATATTTGCAGTCTTATATGATGTTGCAAATTTTCCATAATATTCAAACAAATAAATTGAAGAAAAAATTTAATTCATAAATTTGCTGAGATTTTTTTTCATTAAATATAATTAACAATCTGCTTCAATTATGCATTACAGTAGTTAATAAAGAGTTCATTGTTCAACGTAAAACATTTTGGAGTAGGATTCCATTACAATTCATAAAGAATAATTCCTAGGTAACAGATGTGCGATATCAATTTCTGTAAACGCTTATAAGAATATCTCGCATTAGCTTTTTTGAAAATAAAAAATTAGTTTGTTGTTCAATTTTTTTTTATTATACTTTAATCTTACAAATGCATTTTTTAATTCATGTAAAAAAAACAGGTATAAAAGTAATCTTAACGACGATTAAACTGGTTTTCACATTTTTGCAGTGATCACTCCGCACGTGGAATTATGATAACATAATTTTACATCGTTACACTAGGATACTATAGTTATTTTACAATACAACATAAATAAAATCATAAATCACAAAATTTCCTTGAATTTTATGACCAACAATTTTGTCATTTTTTTATAATCAGAATAATCTAATAATTTCAGTTAAAAAAAAGTTAAAAAATATTTTATAAAACAAGTGTTTAAAGCATATAATTGGGTGAGACATGTTTTTCACGTATTAGTTGTACAATATTTTTTACATTTCGTGCGTAAAACGTGCTTTTTATAACTCTGTTAGTTTAGAAAAACTATTTTTTATGCACGTATTGTTAAACACACCCTTTATTTATTGAACTGACATTACTTTACATTTTTTCTAATTAAATAATGTTTCATATCAAACTATAGCTTACTTCAACATATAATCTTTCTCCTCTTGAAACTCCATCACCATATTCTTATCATGAATGCCACAAAATGATTCTTCCACATTGTGAACAATACGATACAAGTATTTTAGAACTGGATTCAACGCTTCCAGTATTATAAGTCTTTTTCGATATACGAGTTTTGTAAGAATTTATATTTTTATATTTTCAATAATTTCATCACATAAATATAAAGCTAATTATGTTACAAAATAAGAACTACTAAAACTATAAGAAACGATATAAATAATATATCGCAAAAATTAATTCATCGTGAAGTGATATGACACAAAATTATAAAAGTAATTAAAATATTTGTGGATTCTCTACTCGTTATAGTAGTATTCTCACTATTAATCATTCTCGTAGTATAAAAAATTTAACAATTGAATTCAATATTCATCTTATTTACAGCAGGATCTATCGAACACTACACAAACTTTGTAACTATAAATTTCTCTGAGTATTCTACATATTTCACTAATGTACACCAATAATTTTTACGGATAATCAAATTGGAATAGCTTTAACATGAATTCTTTCATTTTATCGTAGTATACGATACTTTTCAATAACAAAAAAATAATCAAAATCTAAAGTTACTTTGCAATTCATTAACAAATGGTGGTCCATACAGTTAGTTACATGAATTGGAATAATTAATTTTTTTTAGAGTGTAACTACGTTTTAAATGCCCCAGCATACGCAGCTTTCAATATAAATGTTTTGACAGTTGATTCATCTAATTTGGCAAAATTTGGAGTTTGGATCACAGCAGTCATATGATTTAGAGCAAACTTGAAACAAAATTCTTCCAATTCCTATAAATATAAAAATTCAGACTGATTTATCATTTTTATACACAATCATTTTATCCAACATACTACATTCTTCAATAATCAAATATTTACTTACTTTAGCATTATATTCAATGGCAGTACTGTAGAGAAATGCAACATTTGATACAGTAATTCCTTGTTTTATCATTTGAATGCAACGACGTTTCAATTGCTGTTCATAGTATGCATTTGCCAAATCCAAGAGTTCTGAAAAGTATGTTAAATTGATTCAATGTAAATTTAATAATCTCTTAATTAAATTTTCATCTTAGAATTCTTAGAATTATTTACCTAATGCATGTTCTGGAGGTAAATCAACTTCATTTGTATACAAGAATTTCAGAAAAGAATGATATACATCATATGAAAACGTTTCATGTTCAATGACACTGTTGAAAATAAAATTATAATTTCACATATGCATATAAAATTTTCTAGTATAAATTAAAATAATTACTCTTTGTTATTTTCAGACCAGTGCTCTTGAAACATTGATCTAAAATACTGACAACGAATTTTCAGTACAGCTTTATGTACATAAATTGGTTTACCATGAACTTTTATAGTTAAGTCACTTGTAGTCTAGAAAAATATAGTAAATATAGTTAAACGTATACTAAAAATATAGTAAGAAATACTTTTGGTACAATGACAATGTAATTATAATGAAAAAACCAACCTCATCATTAAATGCGTTTCTCATACTTTCAATAATTCCAATTTCTTCATCATCGTCCAAGATAAGAGGTTCATGCATAACACTGGGAGTACCATAGCATGCAAGTGCATCGTGCATATGTGGAAGTGGAGTTGCCATTGGAGTTATGACACTTTGTCCGCGACATTGCCCCCACATAAATATTTTTCCTCCTTGACACATTGCCACACTTATGTGGGTGTAATGTAGGGTCGCTATATCAGATACTCTCCCCATTTCTGGAATACTCAACTGCAAATAGGAATGGACAATTTAGAACATAATATTTTTATTTTATAATTTTAATTTAATTTTACTTACTTTTGTAGGCGAACACACATTAGCTTTACTACCCAATCCAAGTTGGCCAAAAGCATTACCTCCCCAAACATACAGTACTCCCTCATCACTTAAAGCTAATGTATGCGCATATCCACAAGCAATTTTTTCTAAAAAAAAGTTCAATGTAATCAATCGAACAAATAGTACATTATAGTTGAAATTTTATATTGTACCTATCACAACTCCAGTTAATCCAGTAACTTTGCAAGGACTTAATTGGTTAACGTAACTGCCAATCCCGAGCTGTCCCACACCATTGTAACCCCATCCGTATACTTCTCCAATATCAGTCACAGCTATAGTGGATGTTTGTCCACATGCAACTGACACAACTACTTTACCACTTAAAGCTGAATTTACTTTACGTGGTGCAGCTTGATTTGAACTAATTCCACTACTAACTTGTCCACAATTATTTTGACCCCACGAATACACCTAAATTAATAAAATTGTAAAGATTTAAATAATTATAACTATTGTATTAAATAAGTATAAATATTGTAGCATTATTTTAGTAGTGTAACATATTTACTTCTCCTTCATCAGTAATAGCTACTGAATGATGACTCCCGCAAGCAATTGATGTTACAATTTTATCATTCAGATTAAGGCATAGCGTTGGTGTCAATCCTTGATTTGAAGAACCATTCCCTAATTCACAGTATCCATTGTGGCCCCAAGAGTATATCTTACAAAGCAAAAATAGTTTATTTATTTTGCAAAAAACATCGTGATGGTATTTTAATTCTTTCAATTGAATTTATTTACCTCTCCTTTCTTTGTTAAAGCAAGAACATGAGGTCCACTCCCATAAGCAAAAGTTTGAACACCTTTTCCGCAAAGAATATCAATTTTTCTAGGGGAAAGCGTGCTTTGAGAATCTCCAGTACCTAAGCATCCTGCTGTGTTGCTTCCTAAAGCATACACTTCATCATCCTTCGTGACAATTAGAGCTTCATTTCCTAAATTACCTAAGTAAAAAGAAAAACACATTAGAAAAATCAAATTTCAATTCAGGAGGAGAAATTATAGTAAGAAAAAATAATACCAACCATAAACAACGACCATGTGTATTTTGGCAACGAACTTCGGCTCCAACAGATTAAAGATAGGCCAGTTTTTCAAATCAGCAGTAGTCATGGTTGAGTACCAAGGTCGTAGCGAACGCCGAGTCGTTTGTAGGTAGCTGTCGAGCTGTCAAGCGGCGAGCGATCGGCCTCTGTATGCCGAATACTCGAATGTGGATATTTCGAATTTGAAGGACACTCGATTGCCTTTAAGAACTGCCCATATTTACGTATCCAAACACATTTTTCTTTGTCGAGGAAAGCTTTGATTCTCCAGAGTTCATCACACGCATCTAGAGGTATAAGTATTTCTGGTTCGTCAAACATTCTGTTGTTATTGTATGCTCACGCAAATGTTTTCATGCAATACAAAAAATGAGCAAAAAAAACTAAAACAAAAAAGAACAAAGAATAACATCAGACGAAGATAATAATATGAGGTGAGATTGGCAAGGGGCAACGACCGCATTGTGTGTATACATCAATAAATGCGTATCACACTCTCGATCTGATTATTGATTGTTGATAGGAGACAAGCGAACTACTAATAAGGTATACGCACACAAAGCTTATTAAAAGTTATCGAATGCGATGTACAAAAATATAATCGCTAACTACGTTCAATTAATTTCGCACCTCACGTATCAGACACGGATGCAAATATACGGTTATAATGCAAGCTGATGGTGCACCGACGTATGCAGCAGAGCAAGAGTAAGAGTGGCCGACTGGTCTGCGAGCTGTCACTTTCGACCGCTAAGGCCTAGTATACGCATTGTATTGACCAGAACCGTGTTGAAAATTGTATATAAACACACTACTTCGAGATCCGAGTGCGCGCGCGGCTGTCGTCCATGCGCGGCGGCTTGCTAGGAAACTGCGTACATGCAATATATCGCCGCAGCAGCTGGAGCGATCGCGATTGTCGGCATTGTCCGGATCTATAATTAGACCGAGAGAAGTGGGTGTCTGCGGCTCATCTGCATTATATGCTTGTAGCGGACGATTCAAATGCGATCGATTCGTACTGCACGTGAGCTAATTAAAAAATATTATTCAGCAAAGAAACGCATTATTATTATGATATAATTTTCAGCAAGATGTATTTCTCTCTTTTGTCGAGTTGTTTATAATTAATTTTCTTAAAAAGAAGAATATTATTCATGTGCTCGAATATCTGAAAAATTAATCATTTTCCTGCACGAGAAGAATTTTTTGTCACTTGTACATTACACATTGTATGTGTGTATGCAATCCGTTTGAGATTCAATTATTCAATTAGATTTATATTGTTCCCGCACTCTAAACGATGCCTATGACTATTCAAAGCAACATAGAGAGAAGTCCCATACACTTATCTATCATCTGAAATTTGAGAGGGTCAGATAATGAAATTCACGCGCTCCCATCAAAACTTGAAGATTTTCTGTTACAAACTAACTTCGTTTATTTTATCGATTGCAATAAATATAGTTGAATTCTAAAAAAACGTTGGAGTGTTAATTTCGATATCCAAACAAATTGTTGAATCGAAAGCTTTTTCGTGGCAATCGTTCAACGTGTAGATACTACCAGGCACTGCCGGCGTGGTAGATACTAGATACATTGGCACTCGTGAATCGTGCACATTTAACGCTCGCGTAAAAAATGACGCCGAAATCTTGACACACGTGCGTGGCCTGTTGCTGTACTACAGATCTGAAATAGACCTCGATCTTTCGAAAATCATTATGCCTACGATCAGCAAGTGTGACACGAGGCAACAGAACTTTCTCAATAGAATTAAATGGTCGATGCTTTTCCCGCCAGATTCCGCCAAATATACCGCTTGGAATAACATTAGCCATTCAGTTTTAGAGACTCGATTCCATGGGTTGTAAATCGTGTTGACTGATCCAGAAGTATTTGTTGTACTGCTAGGATGGATTTTGTAAAATCTTTGACCGTTCGCGAAAGAACATCGAGTGAGTGGAGTTTCAAGTTATTTTAACTATTTTAATTTGTGAAAATTTACGTAGACATTCATACCTCTAATGAGGTCTTGAAATAAATTATGATTATCGCAATACTAGTCTTTTTTCTATATGATTTTTTTCTATTTCAACCTAATAGTTAATGAAATTCTCAGATTTAAACTTGGACTATGACGTTAGTTTATTACGATTGAAGTGCTTGCCGAAAAATCTCTTTCATTGGGCATCTCCAAACTTGACCACACCAGATCCTGTAGATAATCCTCCAGTTTTTGCTGGAAAATTTTGTAATGCACCTGGTTCCAAAAATCTTTTGGCCATTGCCAATGAAGATGGTAAAATTCTTTTGCAAGACATATCACATAGATGCAGTGATGATACACAAGAACTTCCTGAAGGCATACAGGTAAAATTTGAATGTTCATAAAAAAAAATTATTTTTTGATATTCAACAAGTTGAAGTGATTGATACAAATCAATATTAGCTTTTGTTTATGTTTTATTAATTTAAAAAATAAGTTATAAGTCATTTTATTAAATTCATACATTTATTTAATTATTAATTTGTGAAACAATTAATAGGCTCACAACAATGCTATATTTGATATAGCATGGATGCCCAAGGAAACAAAATTGGTGTCTGTATCAGGAGAAAGAAATGCTGCGCTTTGGCAAGTTAAGGATGGAGAATTAACAAAACTGTCAAGCTTTGTTGGGCATACACATTCTATTAAAAGTGTATCATTTAGACCTGAAGACAAAGGTATAAACAGTTTATATTCATTTGTACCGTTATCGCTTTAATTATGTTTGTGTTTTCATCACAGCTGTTTTTGCTACTGGAAGTAGAGATGGTTCAATTAAAATTTGGGATACTAGAGCTAATTACTCTAGTGCATCCAAGGCTGATGATACAATTAGTAATGCACATGTATCAAAAATGTATAGAGCGAGTAGAAAAACAAATATAAAAAATGTTGGTCTCAGTGTTACTACTCTTCAATTTCAAGATGATTTTAATCTAATTTCTGGTTCTGATGGAGATGGGTACGTTAGTTATAATAATAAGATAAAGCAATTTTAAAAATTTCTTATTAATAAAATATTTTTAGTGAATTGAAAGTTTGGGATCTAAGAAAAATTTACTCAACTCACAAAAAATTCCCAGTTGCTAAACATGTATTGTTATATGGAGGAAAAAGTCATACATACTGTGGATTCACATCTGTACTTGTTGATCCTTATGGTCTGAACTTGTATGCTAGCTGCGTAGACAACGTTATATATTCGTATAATTTGACTTCCTATAATCCAAACCCAGGTAATTTTCATTTTAAATATATTGTTTTATTGATGTAGTTTTTTAATTATTATTTTATTAATAGTTGCAAGATATTATGGGCATGGAAAAACCAATACTCCTTTAAGTTTCTTTGTAAAAGCTTGTTTGAGTCCAGATGGAAAGTATTTAATAACCGGTTCAAATGATAAGGCAGCTTATATATGGGCTACAAAAAAACCAGGATATCCTATTATCGAACTTACTGGTCACAGAGAAGAAGTAACTTGTGTGGCATGGTGTGACGATGTTATTCCTAAAGTAAGATAGCACATATCAATTGCTAAAAAATTAAATCAAATTGATAAATAAATATATAATACTTTTAAATTTGTGGTAACTCATTGAAAGGAAATAAATTAACATTTGTTTTTTTTTTTAGCTTGTAACTTTTTCTGATGACTGTTACCATCGATTATGGGAAGTAGAACCTGATCAAGATTTCGTGGATGATAACCAAATTGTAGGAATGTCTGTGAGATATCAACCTAAAACATCTAATTCACCGAGAAAATGTTCTGAACACGCAGACTTAGAAGCACAAGATACAATGCTTGGACAGACAAGTGAAGAAATAAGTGAGAACCATCATAAAGAAACTCATGATGAAAGATCATTACTTGTCGATGAATCATTAATCAATAACACAGTACCTGGAAGTAAAGAATTACGTGCCATTCCATGTCCATCAACTCCTAAAAATACAAGTCTTCAGAAATATATTATACCTGGAACTAGTAACGTACCTTCATCAAGTTCTTGCTCGAGTAGAGAACCCTTTTCTCCTACAGTAGGTTTGCCTAATTTTGTAATTGATGGAATAGCACCTCATCTTCATGTTTCACCTCAAAAATCGAAGGAAAATTCAAATTGGCTTGCACAACTTACACAAGCCAAACAAAAACGTAAAATTGTAGATACAAGTGAAGACGAATGTAGTAGTCCTAAAAATACTAAAAAAACACCGAAGTCAGTGAAAAGAAAGAAATTTGCAACTGTCAACACACCGAAACTCGACCGGAAACTTTTAGATTTTTGTGAAAGTGCTAAGGACTCAAATGTAAGTTTAAAACTTTGTTTCTAGCTCTTAAAAATGTACACAATAATGTAAAAATATCATGATTTTTTCTATTTTGGATTGTTGAACTTACCTGTAAAATGAATGTTTAAAAGTTGCATATTTATATTTAAAAATTTAAGACAGTTTTTATTATCTGTTTAAAATATAGCATCAAAAATCTTCATCAAGATAAATATTTCTAGAAGAAATTGAAGTTTGAAATGAAATTTTTTAGAATTATGGAATCAATATTCTATTGAAATTTTGGAGTTTAGAATAGTGTTATTTGGGTACTTATCTTATTTAATGGTTCATATTCTTATTTGTTATCTTCGAAATATTTACTGATGTTAACTTGTTAGATTTAGAGGAGTAAAATTTAACAAGTCACACCTAGAACTGAAAGATAAATATAAATTTTAAAGTTTCACAGAGAGGACCAGAAAAAGGATGAAGAAAAAAGTGAAGATGAAAATGAAAACATACATCAAGGCGGCGATTGAAATCTCAATAATGTACAAAAGACAAACTCGAAATACTCCGAACAAATGAATTTTTTTTCGTGTTAACTCATTCGAATATTTAGGCCTGTGGTCTAAACGAAATTTTTAATTTCTACTAGAGATTCTCGAAATTTCAGGTATGCACTCAAGCTACCAAAAAAGCTTAAGAGTATTGAAGCTTAGTTTTTGATGTGTTAAAAACGTTAATGGTTGCGTAAATATCATAGAACTGTATAGAACGATTGAGAAAGACTTTTATGTAAAATCGAATACTCTATATTTTATACACAATTTTTACTATAATATGAATGTAAATAGAAATCGAATCGAACAAAATGTAAGCTTTAATAGTTATGCTCTGAACAAGTATTAATAATAAGAACTTTGATAAAAAATCTATTGTTATAAATTATTTCAAATAACTCCCAAGTGTGTTCTGGAAAAGGAAAGTAAATAATGAATAATTATTTATTTAGTAGAAACATTTATTAGATAAAATCTCAATGATTATACATGCAGAAGTTTTTAACATGCTTATTTAATAACACCATACGTCCATTACAATGAACAAAAAGCGATTAAATGAGATATATAATACGAAGCCAAAATTATTGCGTTCAATTGACTTTTCCAAACACAAGTTTATTGTGGAAGGTCGTTACATTAAAACTAATCTTTGAATTTTAATTAGAGCCAATGTAAGATTAAAGGAATCTAGACACATTCGAATAATCATGTTTATAAAAAAATATACTTTTACAGAAAAACAAACAATTTTAAATAAGTACTTTATATTCAAAGTATCACTTTATTTTGCCACTTTAAAACAATAAGTATACACAATGACCTTAAACAATGACCAATTTTCGTTCATAATTTTTCATCAATGAACTTGATTAATAAAATTTTATTTAAAAATAAATATCATAAAATGATGGAATTATGATAATATAAAAGCCGCATCATATTTCTAATTTAAACTAAAAAAATTGCCAGAAAAATATAAATGCATAAGCATTTTTCAGTTCTGACCAAAATTGTACGAACATACAAATATATATTAACATCATACACATATTTTCGTAATGGAATAAAAGTTTTTACTCTAAAGTATATATTTAAAATTAAGTATTGTTTTAAAATTAAGAAATTACTATTTTATTGCAATAAAAAGTTGAATTTACGAATAATTTGTATACATCTTAAGCTAATTTCATATCTTAAATTCTTATACACTAATGACTATTATCCAATTACATTTTGCTTTATAGATATCGATTTTTCCCTAAAAATGTTATTTTTCAATTTAATTATCAATATTAGAATATTGTTTAACCAAATCAAACTGTTAACAATTTAGTAGAACAATTTAATCAGTTAATTTATGAAATAGTAGTCATATTCGGTCCAATGAGCAGAAACAAATATACATGAACTTTTCTGTTTGCACGATCGACAAAAGCAATCTTTTTAATTTACAATCATGTTTTTTGAAAGAATTTTGTAACCATTAATGAAACAATTTTAATACATTTTTCGAAATCATATTGAATTTATCATTCGTAATATTCTATGATCTAAATATTAATTTAAATGAGGGATTTATATAATATTTTTTTATACAACAAGAAACATTAACATATAAGTATATCGAAGTAGCGTTATAAATATATTGAAAGTACTTTTATTATAATATTTACACGTTCGCATGGATATGTCCAAAGTGCGCTTATAATAAGCGCTTTAAAGTTAATAAAACATTATTTTTTAATACTTTAGATGTTTTTGTTCATTGGTCAGTAATGACTCACTACTTCAAAGCTTAAAAAGAAAGTTGTCAAATGATTTTTATAATTTGATTGAGTATTAATTTTTTTTTAATTATTACAATGTATACAATTAGTACAAAAAAGTATTTCAATAATTTAAAAAAAAATGACGATACAAAATTTGTCGATGCTACAGCATTACTTTGATACTCGGTTATCCATATTTCTTTAAAACAATTGCACTTTGAACGTTTTTAAAACATTCGATGATTAAAATGCACCGATAATTTCACTCTACAATTAGCAAGCTATCGTTGTGTAGTGTACAATCGATTATACTATATTACGATGCAAATTAATTTTTTGTTCAATTGAAAAGAATATGGCATCAATTCAATCTTGGCTTGTTATTCATTATCATTATTTGTTAATTTAAGTAGAGTACTCCACTCATTAAATTATAATGAGAATATATTCACAAGTAATTGCAATAGGAGATGCGTAATGTACATAAATGCTTAAAAACAGCATTCACAATCGATAAATGTCAATATTTCATTTTAAACATTTAATGCAGGTACTTTATATAAAAAAGAAAAATTATATAATTCGAACATCAATTAAGTTGGTTAAAATTAAACTCAAATGACTAATTGTTTCTATAAGCTTGCGAATAAATAACAAATTTTATATTTCACATCTACTGAAATGTAAAAAAATTGCATTTAAATTATGCATATTATTACGCGTTAAAAAAGTTGTATTTCAATTTCACGATACAAAATTGAAAAACCTTGCTAATGATAAATGTCGTATCAAAAATCGTTATATTAAAATGCTCGAATCATAATTCGAAGAGAGGGAGAGCACGCGCTCTTTCATAAAAAATTCACGACCTTTTTGTTCTTCCTCAATCGTTACAATTAATTATTATCGTTGGAATTATGGAAGTTAATTATTTTTTTGCGTTCAAATCAAGGTACAGTCTTGAAACGTGCATCATCATTGTCATTGCAAATGCGCACCATGTTGATTCTTTTTATCGATTAACTAAATCTCGCTGTGACAAATAATTTTACGCTCGTAAATATATTTGTTAGAATATAAAATTGATTGGTAACCAACATCTCAGCACTTGGATATACGAACAACAAGAGCGCAAGACTAGATGCAATATATTTAGATATATATAAATGTAATCATATATATATCTATCTTTCATAAATGTAATTCATATGTGTACGTATTTTTGTATTTGTTTACATAATATTTATGTATATTATATATATGTATAATAAACAAATGAGACGCGCGTCGCTCATGAGATAGATTCAAACTTTAAATGATCTAAGGTACATCACGTAATTGCGTTTATCTGCCAAAGCAGCACAAATCAATGATCAAATAATAGCAGAACCAGTCCCTATCACCGTCGTCGTACTCGTTGTCGATTTTTTTCTCAGCGTCGCGCAAGCCCTTATCCTACGGTAGATCGTGATTGAGCTTGTCCTCGTGCTGCTGCTTCTCCTCCTTGAGCAGGGTCTCGGTGTTGGCGCTGTTGGCCGGATTGTTGAGCTGCTGCTCCTTGAGGCGCTGTCGCTTGCCGCGCTGGCGCTTGTGCATGCAGCACAGGGCCACTGCGATGCAGGCCATGAAGATGCCGACGAACGAGCCGATCCAGATCCACGTGGCGCGCGCCTTCTGCATGTCCATGCGCTCCCTCTTGCGCGACTCGCACTCCTCGTGCTTCTCCAACCAGCGCTCGGCGAACTGGACGTTCTGGCAGCGCTCCTCCTGGCTCTTGGGGCACTGGAAGTCGTCCCTCATCCTTCCAGATCCGTCGTCGACTTTGAATTCGACCTTTAAACAATTTTCATAATTAGGCATTTTTGATTTGATTGAATAATTGAAGGTGGTGTTTTTTCATAGAGAGCTCGTGGAATTTGGTTTGGATTAAAAAATGATGATTCAATTGATAACATTTATAACTGAAATTTGATGATCAAATGGGTAGATGGATAAAAATGAATTGTTTTACGCTTTTTAATTAATCCTGAAATACGCGAATTTTCTTGCCATTTGCCAGAGATTAAATCATGCAGCTTCGTTGAACCAAAGTGTGGGCGACAATTCAAAAAATAAAAAATAATAAAAAATGCAATGAAAAGAAATTTTTGGTTCTAATAGATGATGCGAGAATGAAATATTTTCATTATCATCGATAAAAGTATTTCAATGCGTCGAATGAATTTACTGTCGTTACATAGTGTATCGCTGGAAAGCGTATACGTGTTATTGAATTGAAGAGGTTGATATTTGTGTGTCGTTCAAACAATGGCACATTTTTAGCTGACGATGTTTGTAGCTTGCATACACACAGACGCGTACATATCGCCTCAGCCCATATTTCATTCAGTTTGGAGAGTGCACGTTCGAATGTTTTCCGATGACGAAGGGGAAAAAAGGTATAAGTGGCGATCGACTGCGCGGCGCGTGAATTTAGCTGGATCATCAAAAGCTCGAGGCAGGTCGTGTACGTTATCGTTAGTAATATAATACATTACGATTACTCGTAGGCGCGCTTGCGCGAACTCATCAATAAACTGGTCTCTCACCTTGATGTTGGTCATCTGCAAGATCCACTTCTTGAAGACGTAGCAGTCGCAGGTGTTCTCGTCGAATTTCAGCGGATTGCCCGTGAGTACGAGCGAGGTGAGCGAGCACATGGGGGCGATCTCGTCGACGGTGACCCGACTGATGAAGTTGTGTGAGACGTTGAGCGTAGCCAAGGTCGGCAGAGGATGGAGCCTCGGCAATCTGGTGAGCTTGTTGCCGGACAGGAACAGCCAGGAGAGCGCCGAGCGCACCCCGGTGACGTTGAAGGTCGCGTCGGTCAGCTGATTGTCGTTGAGGTAGAGATTGCGCAGGAACGGCAGCTGGAAGAGGCTGCGCGGCAGCTCGAGCAGTCCGTTCTTCGAGAGGTCGAGCGCCTCGAGGTAATAGGTCGGCGCGAAGGCTTGGTCGGCCACCTGCTGCACGAAATTGTCCGCCAGGTAAAGGTAGCGCAGCGACGTGTAGCGCGCCAGCGTGTCGTTGTTCAGTTCGCGAATGCGATTCTCGCCGACGTTCAGTATCTGTAACGATGCAACAACAAAATTTCAATCGGGTTTTGTCTCTCTCTCTCTCTTTCTCTCTCTCTTGTCGTTCTTTTTTTTTTCTATATTCTTTTGCGCGCGGATTGACAAAAGCCGCTTACGTACGATTCATACCAGATTTTAAAATTAAAATCTCTAGCATGACCGCGCTCAGACCTTCAATAATAAAACGTAAAATTGCTTTTTCTCTGATTTCGACAAGAGTCAATCCTTTTTTTATATATCGACGACAGTTCTGACTGATAACAGTTTTCAATTTTTTAACTCTGAGCTTTAGATTTAAAGTCATCGATACTTCAGAGAAAATAGTACAAATTCAGCGTTATTAACATTTTTTTAAAACATCACAAATAACATGTATCTTGCGTTACTAATTTGCAATAGCCTACTTCAAAGGTACAAGAACGAAAATGCAAAACGAACCTCGATTGAGCTTTGCAGATTCTGTGGAATTTCGTTGAGCTTCAAGTCTTTACACGCAGCCTGAAGACGGTTATAGGGCCTTGAGTATCTGCACTTTTTGATCGGCAACTCAGGTTCCATGAGAATCATGCTACCAGAGCCAACTACGGCTGCGGAGTGCACAGAGCTGTAGCTCAGGCCTAGCAATACAAGCAGCATAGCGAGCCCCATCCTGGGTAGATTCATGCCTGCAAAAAAACATAAAACAGAGATTATAATTATTATTCGTTTACATTTCTTTTCAATTTATTACCACAATAAGTTAAATATTCGGAAATCGGAAAGTACAAATAATTGTATAATTAAGAACACAATTCAATGTATTCGCGAAACTTCAACAATATCGCGTGTTCTTACAATAATCAACGGTATTTATATTTTAACACCAGTCGAGGAGGTATTTTCATTAAAACCTTTACAAAATTACCATTACTTTCGGCAATATTATTTACAACGGATTAAACATTCCATTCCAAAAAGTTTCGAGTCAATCATCATCATTAATCACCGGGGGTCTTTATATTTTCACGAAGTTGAGTATTATGTTTCGCATAAGCTCGCGCTTGCGAGGGAAACTCCACACAAACAAACATTATTCCGAGGGAATCCAATTAAAACTAGCCCACAATCGCCATTATACAAATTTGGGCATAGCAACAACAAAGCTCTTTAGGGGTGACTTATGTATATACAACGAGAATCGCGTCTTCATCTGGCGCTCGGGCGCACGAAACACGCACATCGCATGCGGCGGCCGCAAGCTCAAAACGGAATACTAAAGCAACTGTTGTATGTACTAATTCTAATCCTAAATCCTCCTACCCGTGAGTTTGGAGTAAAGAGAGAGAGAGAGAGAGAGAGAGATAGGAAAGAAAAAGTAATGAACTCGTGAGCAGTATCGTGTAACTCCGCTTCCATCGCCGCACAGTGTAAATATAATATCACGACGAAGTATCAAAATTTCACAGCTCGCCAAGTTCAAAATTGAAATTTTCCGCTCGTCGCGCAGCTTTTGCAAGCAAACAAGCGCTCCACGTACTATATAGTTGTAACATCGATACGCCCGTGCGGCAGCGTCGGCTGAATGATGCGCGAAAGATACAGCAAGCCCATACACAGCGGAGAAAGAGAGTCATACGTGCGCGCGAATTTCTCGCGCGCGTCTGTATTTTATTGTAAATATACCGACACACGGTGCTTTTTTTCTACACTTTCGGGCGAACACGAGCGACGATGGCAAACTCTCGAGTATGCCAAAGCTGCTCCGATCCATCCGTGCGAGCGGAGCGAGGTTTGCCAAGAATGCCAAAAAAATCTCACGTACAGCCACCCACACACGCGCGCGCACTACTCTCTATCGTGTACATACGAATTTAGTGCGCGAGTGTGCATGTGCAATGCATTCGAGTATCAAGGCGTGTAAAATTATACGATCGCAATTGCAGCTTGACTGTAGAGAGAGAGAGAGAACGTCGAGTGGCTAAAGTTTCACCTTGCGGCGACGGCGGCGGCAGTTGTTGCGACGAGATTTTGGGCTATTCAAGCGCGCGTTTGCCTCGCGCGTCTAGGGCGACAGCTTTATCAGCGATATAAACATCTGCTATCAAATATATATAATATAATATTCTGGCTGTACAGACATATTTTCGTTAAGCGGCCCTCGTTTTCTATAGGTCGAGAACCTTATTCCAGCCGGCATTATACGACAAACAAGTTATATTATTCGGAAAAGCTCTCGAGATTGTGTGCCCGGCTACGTACTGATCCCCTTATCAAAGGCAATGATAGTAATCCCTGTGGCAATGCCAACTGGCGCGACCAAAAGTCGCGCGCTCGCTCGCTCGCTCGACGTTTTTACTTTTGTCCGCGTCGCTACACCTGCCTTGGCCGCTGCGACTTTGAAAGGAAGAAAAAGACGGCTCCGGCTAAATTTATTGGTACTTCGATATTTATGTAGGAAATATGGTGTGATTCGTTTCGTTGACGCGACAGATTTTTAATATATTTCGGGCACTTAATCAAGCAATCTAATATAATTACATTACTGCACGTCATAAAAGGACGACGCTGGCAACAAAAGCCTTTCTGACTGTATCTCTCACTCCATGACAAATACAACGAACGAAATCCCTTTTGATTGCAAAAGCAAGAAAAAAAAGGGCGAAAAAACCGAGCGAGCGAAGCCCCGTAGACTTTTTGTCCTACATACAATATAAAGTAAGTTTGATTCGGCATTCAAGTACAGGAAGACAAAATTTCACAGGAGGGCAAGCCTACGGAAGAGGTTTTATCCGGTACGGTGCAGCGTACATGCGGTCGTCGTCGTCGTGCACGCTATATTCCACCACCGGCGCAGTATAGTCCAGCGAAGCATAAAGTGTGTCCTGTGCCATATACAGAACTATTAGTGCCGCTCACGATTTCGAGAAGACGACGACGACGACGACGACGACGACGACGACGACGACGAAGACCATTGGGAGAAAAGAAGGAGGTAGCGAGCGAGAGAGAGAGAGAGAGAGGGAGAGAGGATAAGAGAGTTTTTGTACGATTTCGAGACGTGAATGATTTTGCAGTAGTGCAGCGCGCTCGCCCTGTGGTATATATAGTATTGGTGCGGCTTCACGTGATTTATACACGTACATCGCACACGGTTACAATTCAATCGAAGCGTTGGATTGAAAAAATCGGCTTTGCGCAGCACTAGAAAATTACGTCGTGTACATAAGAGTTCTTATTGATATTATTTTCCTTCGTGTCTCCCCCACCAAACTCGCAGCTCGCCTCGCGGGGTCAAAGTACGATTATTATGTACACGTCCGCATATTTATACGAGAATGCGGCACAAATGAAATGACACTCATTTCTTTATCGCTCATTACACGTCTCTTTCAACCATTTCGAATGAAGTATACATTTCAATTGCAACGATTGACAGGACACGATACATCGATTGGACGTAGAAGAGAAAAACGGAGCACAAACTCGGGTCAAAACTCATTCAATTTGTTTTTGAATAAGTAGGCCAGTTGGCAAATGTCGGCCTTATTCCACCTTGCAGCAGCAGCATCAGCAGCAGCAGCGGCAGGGGCGGCAGCGATCGTTTCGTTTCCCTTTGAATCCTTGAGTTTGAGAGCATAAAGTGGCAGCTAGTGTTCTCTCTCTCTCTCTCTCTCTCTCTCTCTCGCTGTCTTTCTGTTCTAGACTCTAATGCGAAGTAAATAGGATTTTCTGCTAAAGAAAACGTCGACCATTAAACTCTCCGACGAAAGACAAAAGGAAAGTAAAAAATCTAGATTGTTGATGTTTAGCTGTTTAAATAAAGAAGCTTTAAGGCTGTAGGCAGCCATCATCAACCCTCTCTCTCTTTCTCCTTCTCACTCATTTACTCAGTTCTCTTTCTAACGTCGTCGTTTACCGCGGCCAAGAGTCTCCGAGCTTTGAATCGGTGTAATTTAATTAACTCGCCTTTAATCACGTTTACTGCGCTAAAAGTTTAAAAGTTTTCAAGTGTTTCCGTTTGTTTCTCGAGCCGTTGGCGCGCTTAGTGAGCCGGCACGAGTATACATATAAGTATTTGAGAAATCAGCCTCACAAATAAATTCAGCGAGCTGTACCGCGTTAACGTTCCCGCAACGATTGATTGTTGTTCATGGAAATATAATCTCTCGGCAGTCGTTCCCGATAATAATTAAATCGATTTCGGATTCGAGTTTCCTCCTTCTCTCTTTCCCCAATTTCGTTGGCAAATTTTCAACATATTTCCTCGTTTACTTCCCGTGCGCGAGCGGAATGAAATGCAAAGTGAAACGGCGCAACGGCTCGAGTAATCCAACAGCTGCAGACATAGTTGTTCCGCTCGTAATGCGAATTGCTCTGCTTGCTCTACAGGTGACGATGTTTTCCGTAAACACACTGCAGTACTCCGATGCTTTTCTCTTTACTCGAGGCAAAGGAGATGTGTACTCAGTACGTTTTCAGCTTCATTAGAATCATTTTCTTTTTTTTTTTTCATGTCAAGCTCGAAGTTTTATGCAAATTTTTGTCTTTTAAAATCTAATGAAGATGGAGTGAAGTTGGACGAAAAAAGACATATTGCGTTATTGTTTCATTAAATCAAAAACTCTACCGTGTTTCGTAATTCATCGAAAAATATTTAAATAAAAGAGTGCGGAGTAGTTGAAGGATGACAATGCAGTGGCAGCAACGAAACGATTTTACCGGAAAAAGACAAGCCATAAGGCAACCCCAAGTCGATGACTAAGTTTCAAAAAACTGCTCGACTTTGGTGGTGCAGTAACTCGCGCCTCGCCGGTGCAGAGGATACAAACTTCATAACTCTTTTAGGAATATCGATCGCGCCGGGTCCGAAACTTTATACTCCACGCGCAGCTTATCGTATGCATGAATACATTTTCCTGCACGCGCTGTGCTGTATATAGCGTACACATGCAAGTTTTATTTCTGTCATTCTTATATGGCAGCAGAGCCGCGTGTATACGTATGCACAAGCGGTATTTCGTGAGAGAGAGAGAAAAAAAAAGAACCTAGGCACACCGGTGGCCGTGCACGAGCGCAGAAAGAGAGTTCAAAATGTTGCCGCTGTTTTTTCTCTATTATGATTGCATTATTCTCGGCGTTCTGTGTTTAAGAGAAGAAAAAAAAACTTTTATAGGAGCACGGAGTTAGTTCGGATGGTAGACTCGTAGTAGCAGCAGCAGCGAGGGAGGAGCGCGCGCCAGCCAGTATAGCGCGGGTAAAACGCGAAAAGTTTCGGGCTTTTACATCGAAAACCTCTGTCAAAGCGTTTTATATCCACTGCGCAGGCGGTTAGTCAAAGAATCGCGAAGCTTTAAACAAGATTCATGAAAAAAAAAAGAACGAGAAAAGAAAAAAAAATCGTTGCAGCATTGCAGAGCGCTGCTGCTGCTGCTGCTGCTGCTGCGCTGATTCAGTGCATCGAGATGGGATGACTGTTCCGAGTAATTTTTTTAAACTTCCGCGATTTGTTACAAGACCGAGACGCGCGCCATAAAAGTAGCTGAGCTAAGCTCAAAATTAACATTCTTATTTTCATTCCTTTTTTTTTACGCTCGCTTTAAAGTGTTTCGCTGCGCACTGCATAAATTATTGCTGTTAAGCTTGTCCGATTAACGATCAACGGCTTACTACTTTTTATTTAGCATCG